CAGGAGCCTGGCCCTCTAGTGTTGACTTTGGGAAGCTGCACAAGAGCGCACCCTATTCACGCGTGGCCTCCAGTCTCAAAAAGCAGCACAGAAGGAAGACTGCAGTAAATAGTAATGATATATTTGTCAACTCATAAAACATCCCTATGCCTGTTTGAATAGAAATAGGTTAAGAAATCTATTGAAAAAATTATAAAATAAGCCCGAGGAAAGTATTTGAGAAAAATAATAGAAAATACATAAAGTAGAGGTAAGGTATGAAACTGAATGTGAAAGAGGAATGTGTGATTAAAGACACGTCTGTTGAAGATGTGAAAACCTGGAATCATGCTGTTCACTGAAAAGAGATGTCTTTTTTAAAAAAAAAAATGCGAAAAACTGAAAAATATTTTTTTAAAAGAAGAATTCTGTAAAAATAGTTTTTGGGAAACGATGGCGTGTCGCTCAAAACATCACAGCACGTCAGCTTGGAAACGTGTGTCGTAGGCACGCCATCAGTGGGCCAACAGCTCCTTTGCTGACTTATTCTCTTGCCATGTATTGATCCGAGGGGAATCGATCAGCTTCGGCGTCTCCAAGGAGGCCTCTCTCCCCAGCTCACCTTACGAAGACTGCGCGAGGCGACAACGTAGTTAAGGAACTCCACGGTCAGCCGACGACACAGCTGGATGGTTTGGACGTGGCACTTGCCGGTGCGTGGGAAGGTAGAAAAGAGAACGCACATGGAGAGGGCATCGTCTAAATCCCGCAGGGCGTCCACGAAGGTTGGGTATCTGCAGCCATCGAAAGACAAGTTCAAACCCCAACTGCCCCCTGACGCTTGTGGGAAAGAGGTTGCAAGCATCCTTGTGGCTTCCTGCTGTTAGGGCTTAACTGCCAACAGGAATTGCTCCAGATCTGCTGTGCAACCTTGCTTAACCAGGTTTTGTTGAAAGAACCGCCATCTGGATAGCCAAGTCTAAACAAAACTTTAGACATAACCGCAACACTAGCATTCGCAATCATTTGAAAATTCCTCACTTTCCCCTCCAAACCCTTGGCTGTTTACTGATCTTGAGGGCCTTCAACTATTACCTCTCTTTGATGATGTGGTCCAACTTGTAAGTTGGCTTGTTGTCTTTCAGGCGCTGTACTGTGTTCCATTCGCTCTTCCCGTAGGCTTTACGCAATTTGCGGACAAACACCTTGGGGAGAGAAACATTTTACAGCTCCACACTTACCCGTATCCAGACCATAATTCTAAGGGTCTGGCCAGCTATCCTTCCTCTTCTGCAGCAAGGAGACACTGAGACTTTTGTCTTTTTTTTCTTTCTTTTATATTAAGCATATATTTTTTACGTATTTTTTTTTCCATTTCTCTTTTGACCGCATTAAAAATACTTTATAAAAATACCGTATCAGAAATACACTATTTCACAGATATCAAATGGTTTTAACTTCTCACCCAGAATGCTAGCAACTTTAATCATTTTGGGGGCTCTCTCACAATTGGGATACCTTGTAGTCCCGGAATTTGTTGACAATGGGTTCATGGAGAAGAAACTTTATGTCTTTCAAAAGGTAGAACGTCCGGGCAGCTGTTGAACCCTTGTTCACCTTCTTCTTGTGTTTGGGCTCATGGGGATAAATCCCTTTGAGGATACAGAGTCGCCTGAAAAAAAAAAAAAAACCGGGAAAGAAGATGGTGTCAGATCCATGTATCTGCCATTCTTTTATGGGGGTTGATACAAGCAATCCTTTTTGATATAACCTGAATATCTTAATTCTTGTATTGAATCTGTATAACCGGCACATGATATACAACTGGGGGACTGGAGCCCAGAACTTGTCACCTCTTGGAGAGATAGCAAGAGGAGAAGGGGCCATAAAAACTCCAGCTCTGAAAGAAACTTCCTGGGAAACTTTTCTCAACTAGGTTCCCAGAAAAAGTGTGTGTGTGGGGGGGGGGGGGGGGGGGGGG